AGTACATGCATATGCATGATCTAAACTGCATAATTATGCATGATCTAATTTTAGCGAATTTCTAATCTACATGTACAGTGTACATGTAGCAAAATTACAAGTACAGTAGTTCATGGTAAAAATTTCCAGATAAACTGTATTTTAATATTCACATATCAATAATAATTAATTATCTCATTGTTCCATAGTCCAAAGAGTGTCTGATACGCTGACAGGCTCTGACCTGGTTAGTTATCAAGGGAACTCTGGGCAGAATCCCTCCTCTTCCACTCACATCATATCACCGCAATCACTTGTGTCTGGACCTCAGAAAAATCATCCACCTGCTCTTGTGTTGACGCCCAATGGGTCTGGCTCCACTACAGGCACTAGTGGACGTGGACTAACAAACGAGCAGCAATTAAGTCAAGAAGCATCTAGAGTTTTTCGTAAAATCGAAAGAAATGTGAGTTCTACATGTGTACATATATCAGGGTTCTGCCTAGAAAAAAAATAGAGGTGGTTGGAGACTAGTATTGTTCCTTTTAATTTTATGTACACCATACTAGTAGACCACAATATCATGCTTTATGTATGGTTATTAGTATTAATGGGATGGTTGGTCTAAGTGATGAACTGTTTGGTTCATTTGTTGAGGTGGTTGTCCTGACCACCCCCAACCACCATAGGCAGAACTACATGTACAAGTACATGTATGATATGTATACATGTATGTACAGTGTACATGTACATGTATATTTATTTTTGATTATTGATTTTTATTATTAATATTATTTCATAGTTTAAGAAGTTAGAGGAGTTAGGGTATCAGGGATTTGCTTTTGGCATTCATGGTGATGATATACAGTTGGTGAATTCCAGTTCAATATCGCATTGCTTTACGCCACCTTTACTCTCTTATCTGAGGGCTGTAATTGTTGCTGGTGAGTATGTTATAATAATATTAACAATAATGTCACTCATTTCTTGTTTTTTTCCTTATTGTGTTTTTATATTGGTGTATTGTGTTGTATAGTACTTCATGACTTTCTTTTGTATAATAATAATTATAATACTGTAACAAGAAACAAAAATACATGTAAACAATAAAAATGCTATTTCCTTTAACACTAAAAATAAAGGGAAGGAAACACTGGTTACTGATTGTGAGCATTTTTTAAAATTACATTTTCACTTTTTCATGTACTGTAGCTGCTTGAAATTGACTATACATGTACATGTACATAAATACATATATTTTTATTTACAGTAAAATGTGAAACAGTTTTGGGCTGCAGGTACTGAACATAGCATTTACATGTACATGTCAGGCCATTCTGTACACTTTATAGCCTATAGCTTTAAATGTACATGCATGTACACGTACATGTACACGTATATTTTTTAAAAATGTAGTTTGAGATAGTAGTATTTGTTTATATTTGGTACTATTGGTCAACCTTATACCATAAAAACCACCTTAAAGTTTTACATACATGTATTCCCAGTATTGATAGTCATTCTTAGGTTTCTTACTGATAAACTGATAATATTGATAAAGCCTGATTCTGATAGCTGATCCTATAAACACTTTCTGTTACATTTGTTGCACTTGGGCTGCCCTGATACTGGTACATGTACATGTATCGGTACTGTACATGTATCAGTGAGTACTGGTATCAGATTGATTGATTGTGCTTTTGACACATACATGTACATGTATATGTGCATGTATTCTGTGACTGCCCACATAGTGTAGACCCTGTAGTCACGCTAATAAATGGCTGCCATTTATCCTATTACTACATGCACATGTACATGTACACTTTCTATAATTTCTGACTTACATGTACATGTGTAAGTGACGTATCTCCATTACGTACTTAATACTGATATCAAAATTGAAATTGGTATCTGTTTAAAAATACTACATGTATATCAAATTTATCTATTCATGTACCTTGTACTTACGAGTATATACATTTATGTACATGTACATGTACATTTGCATGTAATTCTCTACTACTGTGTAATGTACAACAATACAAAGTCATTGACCAAATTTTTAGAAACTTTTAAAAATATTATTAGTAAAAAATTTAATTTGATTGATTAGTTCAAGCTTTCTAGGCAACATAAGAGCACGTATGTGTATTAGAAAAAAATTATAAAAATGTAAAATTATCTCCTTGTCATTTTTGATGCAATTTGACCAATACATGTATAATACAGCAGTTCATGAACTTTGGCCTGATTTTTGAGCAAATTTAAAACTTTTAAATTTTGATTGGAATCAGTTTAAATTTTATACGGAACATAAGGACATGTACATATATCAGAAAAAATATAAAAACGCAAAATTCTCTCCTAGTCATTTTTGACAAAATTCCACGTACTATAGTATAGGGAATTTTTTACCAGTTTCTGTGTCACATTTACATGTAAATGTACATACATGTACATGTATATGTATGTGTATAAGTACTATAGATCATTCTTATTATTATTGTTATTATTAATTATTTATTTCTTTATTTTTAGCTAATCCTCCTCCATTGATATCGCATTCAACACAAGCCACTCCCATTTCATCAACTCATCACGCAGTTCACGTGACAGCGCAACCAGCAACAAGCTCCACCCCTTCATCGCGCCATTACTACATGTATGAGCCAGCCAGAGTACAGCAAAGAACAGAGATATATGAATTAAATGATGGCACTACGTATCAAGCGAATCAGCAACACCAACAAGAGGACGAAGACGATGAAGGATTAAGTGTTGGAGGAAGTGAACAGATAACATTTAGTACAACAGGTGCACCTGTTACTAATAATGGCAAAATTCATGTTGTGCTAACATGTGATCCTAACTTATTATATACTACAACTGGAGGTCATGATGATGATATTAGTGATTAATTATACATTTACTGTGTGCATGCTATAAAGTGTAATAATTATTAGTGTTAGTCAGATTTATCTCTCTCTCTTCAAGGAGTATCTTTATTGACTCTATAATTCTCGTTTGGTGTTTTACAGAATTTTATATGAATTTGTGTGTTGTGCTGATGTACTCAGTTTATTTTTTTAAGATAAGGATATAAAGTTTACCGAAAAATATTTCATTTTTTCCGTTCTGCTTTGCAGCACCAGTACACTACTAGTGCGTGACTGCATCACCTACAATTTTATTGAGTATTTGGCTATTCTGTAGTGATATGTTGTGCCAAAAGATAGTGCTAATACTTTTATTGTTTATGAGGAAATTTAGCAAAGTAGTATTGAGTAAAATTCTGTTACATTGCACAGTTTGCACTGAGCTGTTTTGGAATTTGTGGGAATAGCATGCTGAGCTATGTAAGGAATTTACATTACTATAATGATTTTTTTGAATGATAATAATAATTATAATAACTGCAGTTGGGATCAGCTCAAATTCTCTACAAAGCACAAGGAGGTCATTATGTATAATGGGATGTGGTGGTTTTGGATGCATTTTTGCACACTGAGTATTCTAAATGATTCAGTCTCACTCCCTAGTCCCTGCAGTCTTATCCCATCACTAGATCTAGATCTAATTAGATTTAAGAAAAAACTTACTCGTGTGCAGTTAGACTTTAAGGTATTTTGCAGCAATTAAGGCTTGCAATCCTTGCCTGCACAAAACTTATGCACAATGATGCATCATAGACCTATGGTTGCATCATGTCCAATGAATATTAATTTCCTGTGATAGCCGCGCCCTTCATTGGCAAAAGTGCAGTGACACCTTCAGATAATTCATCAATCATTTCTGATGGAGGTAGAGTCTCAGGTAGAGTCTCAGGTAGAGTCTAGTTCTGAGTTCGCGGGAGACAAATTGAGGGAAGAACTCGAGAGACATGAACTAGAATCAGCTGATGGAGAGTTGGAGGCAACTAAGCCTAAGGAGCACTCTAACATTGACATGAACCAGTAAGAGAAGTCACTGTCTTGCTAGTTTAGTCAGAGTTAGCTAGTTACATTTGCAGTTAGACATAATTTTTACTTTGCCATTCAGTCACATTCTTAATGATGCACTGTAATTGTGGTAAAATATTACAATAAGGCCACTCCAATAAGATTCATAGTTTCCCATTACAGAGGCGGGCCTGATGCGGGCGGGCGGGTTTGTTCATTTTCATTAAATTTATTCATTATCAGCTGTATAAATTGCTTGTATAATCAATGAAAAACCGCAATAATGAATAGCGATGCGGCCCCATGCGGGCGGGTAATGGGAAACAAGGAATCAAATTGGAGTGGCCTAAAAGTGGCTCGAAGTGGTGTTGCTTGCATATAGCCTGCCAGGGGCGTATCTAGGAATTGGAGAAGGGGGGTGCTGAGGGCGCGCGAAGCGCAGCGCGATTTTGGCCACACCTACTTTAACGGCGGTAATTAACGGCCTTTTCCTGTCTATGCTGCATTTTCGTCAATTACGGGTGGGGCCAAGATCATTTCAAGCATATTGCTATGTTACTGGTACTTCTGATTGCTCCTTAAAGCACTGGAAACTGCTGAAATCATGATCAGGGGGCTAGATAACTTTGTTAAGAGGCTTGGTAGTGATGCAAGAGTCCAGGACTTAAGTAATTTTTTCTGAGCCCAGCCCTGAGGGGGGTGCTCAAGCCCCCTCAGCCCCCCCCCTAAATACGCCTCTGGCCTGCTGCGATGCCGACCAGGATCAAAATCAAAATCAAATGCTCCAAAAGATAGACACTGAGAGATCAAGACTTGCTGTAGAAGTAAATCAAGCAATCAAGAGATCAACATGCTTTTTAGTTACTTATATAATACCTCCGTGTACGGCTGTTTTTACCTAATGATTAGTTTTCATAGCTTTAGTAAATTTTTGTACACATCTGTATATTGTCATTCAAGATGTGGTTGTAGGTGAAATAGCAGTTTCAATGCAAGTGGCACCACCTTGATGGCTCTGAGATCCTTAATTTTTATTACATTTTTATGATACATACTGATGTCATTATGCTGCATAGAAAGTTTGAGTTGATTTGACAAATTTTTTTTTAGTTATGAGCAATTTAAAATGAGAAAGTTTTCAGAAAAAGCAAAAGCTGTAGCCCAATTAAGTTTTTCCGAAAAATGGCTTCAAAATCACCCTAAATTTTATTACGTTTTCTTTATGCTGTGTAGGAAGTTTGAGCTGATTCCAGAAAATTTTTTTTGAGTTAGGCCATTACAAGAAATTGGCCAATTTTTGGAAAAAAAGCAAAGGCTAAAGCTTATGTGTTGTTCCAAAAATTGCCTGCTCTAAAATCACCCCAAATTTTCGTTACATTTTCTAATACTGAGAGTACATGATGGGGAGTATTTTTGGCTGCTACATAACGACGTAGAGTGTTTTATGAGTATCCAGCTAATTGCCAAGAGTAAACAAATTTACTTATTGTATACCGGTTTATTTTTGAGGTAGAGAATCTTGGCGAATCTTGCATTTCTAAGATTTTGTGGAATTAATTTTCACGAATGGCCTGCAATCTGCACCACGTGGCAATGGAAATGCAGAATTTTGTGGTGGGAAAATTTCGCGATAGAGCAAGAAACCACGAAATTTGCAAAAATATTTCATTACCAAAATAAACCGGCATATAATAGCATCAAGAGTGGTTATCCACTCGTGATAGCATTTACAGTTTACATAACAGAACCATTGACCAGTTTGCTCCAACGATTAAAGGCCGGGGTAGTTCTAGGTGGGGCCATAGTAGCAAAAATGGCAGCTCTATTACAAGCATTCCACAATTGTCTTCTAAACCTAGAGGAGTACTCTGTACTTTGCTCACTTGGAGATAGTTCTTGGCTTCTTGCCTAGTTATAGGCCACAAGAGGCTTTACAATGAAGGGGCACGTCTAAATTTATTAAATACTACACCCAAAATGAACGCTTTTTGTTAATAATGTAAAGTAGGTGCTAAAGTGACTGTGTAAGCTATACAGAACACTCTATGCTGTGATTTAGCAGCCTACAATACTATAGATAGACACCCTCCCCAACCCCCCATTATGTACTCTTGCTGATAGATACTTACAATGTACGTTGTACGTGTATATATGTACTGTGTAGAAAAGTTTGAGATAATTCCAATGAGAAATTTTTGAGTTTAAAAAATCAGCCATTTTGGAAAAGTTATACTCCTAATTTGTATTACTTTTTCTCTGATACATATTGATGTCCTTATCCTGCATGAGCTGATTCTGATAAATATTTTTTGAGTTATGAGCATTTTAAAAAACCTTTGAGACCTTTGGGCAAACATACCAAGTAACACTCTCAGAATAAAAATACCAAAATCACATGGAAAAAAGCGAAGTCTCTAGTCCATAAATGGCTCCAAAATCACCCCAAACTTTACAGACATTTTTTTCACAACATATATTTGTAGCTTTCATTGACAGTTATTGTATTGACTGTTATTGTAGTGCCATGATATATGAATTTCATTACAGTGTAAAGTTTAATTTTCATTTTTGATGCATTCTTAATTTAATTCTTTCCAGTGTTGTAGTATTCTCTGCTACAACTTTCTTTCTACATTAACCTATTTATGTTAATTCTCTGTGCTATAATGAAAATAATGATCTTTTTGGAATCATCATGCATGTATTTTTATCATTATAATTATTTCAGGTTTCCTCCAGTCTCAATTGAAGAAGCTCCAAACAAGATAACACGATCAGAAGCAAAATGGAACAGTGTGATACTTCCTTACCTTGCCGATAGCAATGAAGACAGAGAACAGGAAAGAGAGGGAAAGAATAAAAAGCTCAGTTTTCTTTTTCGTCGGCAGTCTGTTGCAGAGTCACGAGAAGTGAGAAAATATTACAAACGTCTAAGGAAAGACCAAGTCGTATTGAAGGAAGCCATGGAACTGAAAATAGAGAAAGAGGAAAAAAAAGGAGCAGAGTCTAAACCACTTCATTATGAAACAGCATTAGATAATGTTGTCAAATCAACTGCTGATGGTAGAAGTAATGATGAAATTACTAAAGAAGAAACAAGAAAGGGAAAGTTGATGAGTTTATTCCAACTCTCAGTGAGCTCTGCATCTCGTCTCACCCTCTCTGTTAATATCCTTTTATTTTTCATTAAACTTGCTGCATCAATACAATCAGGATCACTCTCAGTAGTATCCAGTCTCATTGATTCGGCTCTAGACCTGTTCTCTGGAGTAACCATTGGAATCACTAGCTACCTGATGCATAATTATAACCAGTATCAGTATCCAGTAGGCAGAAATAGACTAGAACCTGTTGCTATTATCATCACTGCTGCTGTAATGGGAACTGCAGCTTTACAAATCGTCACTACATCCATTACTGATATCATAAATAATTCCATCAATCCAAACATTAATGAGTTCTCTGGTTCTATAATAGCACTCACAATCCTGTTAAAAGGTGGCCTCTTTTTGCTTTGTTATCGTGTCGACAGTCCTTCTGTAAAAGCACTAGCAACAGATCACAGAAATGACTTTGCTTCAAACATTGCAGCTCTAGTCTTTGGAGTCCTTGGTACATACGTATGGAAATATCTCGATCCAATTGGGGCCATCCTCCTATCATTTTACATAATAATAAACTGGATACTAGTTGGCAAGGAGCAGATGGTAAATCTCACAGGCTATAGAGCTGATAGACGATTCACTAGCAAGCTGATATACATTGCACTCCAGCATAGCAAGGAAATACAGGAAGTGGATACAGTCACAGCCTACACGTTTGGAGTTAGGTATTTAGTTGAGATGCACATTGTTCTGAGTAGGGATATGAGACTGGAGGAGGCTCATGACATTGGGGAGACACTACAATTGAAGTTAGAGTCTTTGAAGGAAGTGGAGAGAGCCTTTGTTCATCTTGACTTTGAAACAGGACACGCACCATCCAGTGAACACATACTGGCAGGACCTAATTATTAGTGTATAACAATTAGTTATTATTATCTTTCTGTAATTATTGTTTGTTTATGCATTGTCTCTCTCTTTCTCTGCATGAGTTCCTATATCAGCTTGGTTTCTGTATAGGAAAAGAAGAATAATACATGTATTTTAAATATGAGAGACAATTTTGTCATCTATTATAAAAATTAAATTAAAAATAATTATTTCTGAAAGGACATAAAAACTAGTATCATTAATAATAAGAGTCATACAGGAAAAGGCTAATAGTTATCACAGGCTCAGAAATCCTTTCACATGAGCTTTGGCTTTTCCAAGTTGGTCTGGATAATCATTACAAACTTGCAGGACCTTCCTCCAGGTCACGTCATTATTGGAGTCTATCCATCTCTGAAATACAAGTATCAGCTTATCAGAGGCTGACATTGGACTATGCATAAGGTCATCCACTTTCACACCAAGTGCAGTACCAATAGTTGAAAAATGGGAATCAGAACTTTGGAATAGTCTAAGGAGGTCATCTTTTCGGGGCTTCTTGTCCAGAATATCTACAAAAGTACATGTGTAAATTTAACAAAAAATTGTATAATGCATTCTTACCTTTATCTGATGAAGGAACGTTTATATTCCAGGCAGAGACATACAAATCATAAAATTTTAAATGAGACTTAGTAGCAAATCAAGTTAAATGTACTGTACATGTACATGTTTAGTCAGGGTTTCCCACAAAGCATGCTACATGTAAGTGAGCTATAAAGCATGTTTCATGAGCTGAAAAGTATTATGATAGTTTATAGTACATGTATATTATGTGGGCACATCAAAGGCATAGCCTGATTTTGTTATGAAATTCCGCATAATATAGTGGATAGCACTGGAAGTAAGTGTTGGTTGGTTGGCTTCACAATGGCTAGCAGCATTGTGCGAGGAGCTACTAAAATGCAAAAATCTTTAGTTTTAATTTTTTGGCAAAATTTGGCAAAAGTGCCTGTAGACTTTGGCCCAATTTTTGAGTAACTTGAAAAACTTGTAAAATAATCCAAATTTGATCAGAATTAGCTGAACTTGCTATACAACATAAAGACATGTACATGTAGATGTATATGTATCAGATAAAATCATAAAAAGCAGAACCTTCTCTTTTTAATTTTCGACAAAATTTGGCTAAAGTCCCTGTACTACTGAGTCTACTACATGAGTTCAGGAAACTTGGCTTAATTTTTGAGTAATTTTCAAAATTCATAAAAAATTAAATTTGATCGGAATCAGCTCAACTTTCTACACAACATAAGAACATGTGTACATGTATAGGTATCAGATAAATTTTAAAAAATGCAAATTTCTTTCTTAGGCATTTTTGATAAAGTTTGGCCAAAAAATCTACTTTGTCCTGATTCTAAATTTTGATCAGAATCCGCTCAAAATTTTGACACAATTTAAGTCATGCATCAGTAAAAATGAAGGATTTTCTCCTAGCAATTTTGGTGATTTTTGAGTAACTAGTAACTTTAAAAATTACTAAAAAGAAGCTGAGCACTACGTAATGATCTTGTGGGAAACCCTGTATGCAGTATGTGCTTAATATACATGTATACCTGGTTCAAGTCCCTCCAGTACTCTTCTCTTCTGATATTCATTAATGTCCAGTACTGATTGCACTACCAAATCATCACGAGATACTACAATCATAATAATAAAGAATAACGAAGCACAAAATTAATTATTATAATAATTATTTTTTCCTTTTGCCTAATGCTGCATCAGATCCTCTCAAAACAACTTGGGATGACGTGCTAGATTTTTAAAGTAACTAAAACAACGGCATCACAATGTATATTAATTCTGACATTAATTTTTGAATGCATATTAATGTTGAGATTGGTCATGAGTGTATGATAAAGGTATGCAGTACATGTAGATGCCTTACATGTTCATGTACATGTACATGTACATGTACATGTTTATACATGTACAAGTCAGATAAAAATTTAACACCAAAATATGTAGGAATAAGTACATGCACAAAAAATATAATACAAGCATGGTCCCTTGTTCTTTATTGTACTATTTATTACACATTTAAATATACATTGTACAATGTATAACTGTACATATCTAAAACACGTTTTAATGTACATGTACATGTACTGCACATATTGTACATGCATGTATGTACATGTACATGTACATGCTATATGCAGAAATTCAGAAGGAAATACATTGTAACCTTTCTGTGTAAAAATAAATTTTCAAGAATAGCCACATACATGTACATGTACATGTTAAACTCACTAGTTTCAATAAATGCCGTATTACTGAGTATTGAATCACCTTTCAATCCTCCAAACTCAATTATCCAGTGAGTGGTCTGTGTCTCATTCCAAACTGAGAGAGAATGATAATATCTATTAGTGACACTGTCTGGTATATTCTATATAATAAAGAAAAAAGGTAATTATTATCCTACTCAACTCATAAAAATGACAACAAGAGCTTCTCTATTCAAATATTCATTTTATTTCATGATTATACACATGTCTAAATTGACCAGTTGTACTGAACTAAATTGATTATTATTGAGAAGCTATGTGTACATGTACAGACAGACTTATTCACCACTGGTCTTGTATTCATTCACACTCAACACAAATTGTACATGTAATTGCAATTTAAGGTGGGCTCTCAATATGATGCATTGCTTTTCATTCACTAGCAATATCATCATGACCGAAAGTGCTGTAAAAACAAATGGGAGTACATGTACATGTATGCGTCAATGCGTCAAGAGGACCCTAATTTAGTGAAAGGTAATATTAGCAAAAATACATGTAATAGGTAATTCAAAAAATGGCATTGTTAGCGTAACAACATTTAATAGGCAATTAGCAGCAAAACTCTTAATAATTTCTCCCTACTCTCATTGTAATTGCACACACATGTACATGTACATGTATACATTAGCGACAGGTTTAATTAGCATTTTTATTGCATTGGCTAAAACATACATGTACATGTACATGTACGTTGCAATTAATACTTACCCTAAGCCTAAGTACATGTACATACTTACTAGTTCTTTCCATTCCATTTTGCTTACATTCAACAACCAACAGTCTTTGGTATGAGATCCACCCACCACTAGCAGGTGTGGTCCTGAGCTACAGTTGATTAATACACTAGAATGACCCCACCTCCCCTTAGGCCAACGTACAAATCTTCCAGGTTTAGAAAACTTTGTACAATTCTAAAGTAAAAATACAGTGTCCATGTATTTATCAGAAACAATGGCCATAAAAATACATTATTAATGTAAAATTACCGTAAATTATGATATATTTTGAGTGATCATAATTTTGAATAGCCGTGAGGCATGCTAAATATATAATTGCTAATACTTCCTATTCTTCTTTTAATAGAGTCACTCGGGGCTATTCCGACCGGTTTTTGCACTATGATCTAATTAAATATTCACGAAGTCATAACTCACTTCCTGTTGCTCTTATCCACTCATTTTAACGACCATTGTGTTCTACTAACTTTATTCTATCTATTCATCATTTATATAAGCAAAGTTTTGAATAAAAACTGTAGATAAAGTGACCGGTATTTCGGGGCTAATCCGACCCGAAGGAAGACTAATTATTTGCCTGCTTCTTTCACCTTTACTATTTAGGAATTAAGCTGTTGCTTAGTACTATAAAAAGATATATTTTTCTGCCGAAGTGATCTGTCTTGCTCTCAGTCCTGTATCTGCTACACTTAGAAAGTTATAATAATAAAAGTAGGACTGCCTAGGCGGGGATATTCCGACCCTTGGCACCTTGCTGCTTAAAAATTTCTCATTCCTTATACAGGGGGAAGGAATAGCCCCGACTTACTATATATTGAGATAAATAGGCACTTTTAGGCAGCATATGAAATTTTGAACACCTAAACTTACTATTCTGTACTTTATACCCATTACAAATATCCAGAAATATGGTATACTAATATAATACACTCACCACTGATGTGTCAGTAAATTCTAATATATATACGTCCTTAGTCTTTTTATCACCACTACTACCACCAAACAATATAGCAGTGGTATTATTTATTGATGTTAAGGTGAATGCATCAATAGGAGGTGGTCTATCTCCAGTGACGGTTGGTGAAGTCCATTCACCTAATAATAATACTTTCTGAAATCAATCTCTAGCATAATACATTAAATTCAACAACTGTTACTTTGATCTTGTAATTAGCCTAATTGGACACATATTTTTTTAACTTTAGTTATAAGATCAAGGCATAATTACTGCATGCATATGTCTACAACTGCCTATTGGATTCACAATCAAGATACATATACAAGCCCAGCACTATAAGCTACAGTAATTGCAATTGGGTAATATGACGTATACATGTACATGGACATGCAGTCTGGAGGATTATTATATTCACTATCATTATGACTTCACTACCGTATAGCTAGAAAATTTGGTGGAATAAAACTTTGACGAATTTGGTGAATTGAGGTCCATTTGCCAAATTTTTAGTCTCCAATTTGATAAGGCTCCGTAGAAGCATACACAGAGTTAAAATTTAGCAAAAATTTTAACCTCCAAACCTCTTTTAGAGTCAATTCGCTAAATTTTAGCACTCTAAATTTTCTAGCTATACAGTATGTCCCTTCATTAGTGAAGGAATGTGGCAACTGGCAAGACTATGATTTACATGTACATCTAAAAGTCCATTACTGTATATACATGTACATGTACATGTCATTATTATTAAATTTTCTACTGACCAGTTTTTAATTTGTACAAATGTACTTCGTTGCATCGACCATTATTGTACTGGGCACCAGGTTGTGGTGGGGTATTATTACAACATGGTCCAAAGCCTCCAATTACAGCAAGACAGTCTTCATCACTAAATCTTACTGCAGTCATACCACATTGGACCCTCATCATAGGACCATGACGCGATGTAGTAGGAGACAGTTCCTTCCAATTTAAGGTATCAATATTAAAACTGTAAATTAACAAAAAATAATAATATTCATCATAAACAATTATGTTAACCTGAACAAACTATTATGATAACAGTCATCATGACCACACCAGCCTCCGAAAAAGAATATTTCATTTCTAATGACAGCAGCAGCATAGGAACGGACACCAAGTGGAGGGTCACTAGTGGTAGGTTTTCGTTTCCACCTACCACTCTTTAAATTGCACACCTCCACTACAGAACACATTGCTTTCTTCTTCTCATTACTGTGTACTTCAGGAAGATCAGACTGCCTCCCACCCCACATGTACAAGTTGTGGCCTACCTGTACAGTAAAGTGATGGGCCCTCTCCACTGGTTCATATGCTATAAAATAAAGTAACAAGAAAATAAGTAAATGAGAAAGAAACTGTCACTCTTACATGCACTTGACATTTTCCACTTTGCACCTATGTTATTATCTATGTTATTACTTTATCAACTCTAATAGAGCTGATACGGTTAGATCTAACAGTATAAGATGAAGACGTGAACGGAAGAACACGTATCATGCACGGCCCACGACCAGGTGCCACGTGGCACGTGCACGCCTGCTACTGAATACAGTTGAGGTATTCTGTCATTTCTCTGCTCCTTTGGCCTCAGACTATTGCCTTCTAAACCTTCACTTAATCCTCAGTCTTTGACTCTAGTAAATAAGGTAAGCTAGGCTTAGTTAAACTTTTGACTGGCCGGCCATATGCTCCCACTTTTTTGGTTCTTTCACTTGTCTTTATTTTAGATTTCCCGTTCTCTGTTGGTCTTCATTGCACAATGGCTTTGTGAAGTAGAGTCTGTTACAATGGTATGGTAATGAGGAATTAATGGGAGGTGTGCTTTTAATGCCATATTGCCTAATAATAATAATAAATATTGCCCAATAACAACAACAACAATAATAATAATTTCTACTTGTTATAATATTAATAAATGTACATGTATTGTTAATTTTATTATCCAGTCTTTGACAGCAGAAGCTGCAGAAAAAAATTGAAGCCTTTTAAAAGCCTCTGCTTGTTTATAGTTTATATTGTCAGTCTAGTTCAGCCCCCACTGTATAAACTTGAGGCCTTCTTGTAGACCATAACTGAACTCTTGACCAAATTAACAAATCTTTGAATGCTTATTTTAAAGCTTATTTTTTCCTATTATGAAGAAGGGATTAAGGGATTTGCTAAAAGTGTAAGGAGAGGGGATTATGGATTCCCTCACCCTTTAAAATAGAAGAAAATCATTGTTTTTCTTTGTTGTTGTGAGGCCAATGCACTACATGCCAATGCATGCATGTATTGTGTATGTGAAGTACCGTGATACTAAGTTCAAGAGGCTCATGTGTGAGTTATTTGCATCTTGCTATAACAGGAGAAGCACCTTGTCTTGTTCTACACATAATAATGTTAGCATACATGTACTTGTAGCTACATTGTATGTTGTATATACACTTAATATTATTTGATAGGTATCTGTGTTTTATTTTATTATTTCTTTTTGTTTTATGTAGGTGATAAATGTCTCCATGTTCAATGAAGAATGTAATAGAATTATCAAGTACTAACCAAAGCAAAGGGAAGATGAAGATACCTTTGATACTGTTAGTTCTTTATCAAAATAATTATTGTCTTTTACATTTAATTTCTAATGAATGATCAATGTTCTTCATCATTATGTTCAGTATACTGTAGTTACTCCAGTTATGTTCCATATGCCAGTGTATTCAAGAATGGTGTACCATCACTATTCTCTTGTTCCTGTTTCCTGTAGGTGTGGTTACTGGTTGCTAAGGCAACAGATAAGATTTCCAGCACCAACAGAACTCCAGTTAGTCTGTACATGTGCATGTATTATGTACCGTCCACAGCATTGACCAATTACAGTAAAAATTAATTATTTTAATTATTACTGCTTTTACTGTAATAACTGGAATGAAGCATATTTATTATTTTACATTCTACATAATTATTTGACAGTCTATTAAATTTCATTTCTCTTTTAGTCATTTTTAGAGCTGCTATACCAGTGTATCTCAGGTACTGGATCAATAGGTTTCAATTGGTGGGTGTTGGTTCAATGGAATGCTCTGTATGGATACAGTAATGATGGAGTCTGGAATGATCATCAATGATGAGTATAAAATTAATGGACAATGGACTATAATTAAGGACATAATTAATAAAACATTTAGTGAAATGAAGTAAGTAAATTCTTTAGAATGTAGTATAACTTAGCTCTTTTATCATGTACTTCTTGCCATTCATGAGGTTGTGCTGTTGGGTGGGCTTAGCACACTTACTGAAACCGTAACTTAGCCATGATACATGTAATAATTCATTAAATATTGCTGGGAGAGAGCTGTCCAGTTTCATCATCTTTTCTGATGCATATACAAATATACATGTACTTGTGTTGTGTAGCTAGTCAGAGCCGATTCTGATCAAAATTACATTTTTAATGAATTTTTAAAGTTACTTTAAAAGCCATGTACTAGTATTGTAGAGCTTGTAGTCTCTTGAAGTGTGCTGTTTAGCTTACCCTGACAGACACCTCCATTTATTAGACAGCACCTAGTGTACAAATTTCATTTTTACTGTATAAAATTAACGTGACACCTCTGTATAACAAACTTTATTGTCTTAAAGTGTCCGTTGTATAGTGGCTCCACTGTATGATATTTTTCTCTCTTTCCTTGTAGGGTGAATTAGCTCATCGCTGGTCCATTAATTGCTGTAATTATATTTATAATCACTGGAGTCCTCTCAATGCTTATCCTATTATTATTGGATGGGAATATTACCAGAAGAACATGGTATGTGTACATAATAAATATAGTATTATTTAATTTTGGCATTGTAGAATAATTCATTTGTTATTTCTGATTTTGAAAATAAAAGGCTACTGATATCAGAGAGGTAAATTAAGATGTACTCATCAAGTTTTATTAACAATCATTATAATTTTTTTAGCGGTTATAAAGACGTTCTTGAAGCGATTGGATCAAGTGACCAATTAACATCATCATTGTCATCATCATCATCATCATCATCATCTAGGTGAGTCCTGATCTCTACCTCCTCCTCCTTACCTGGACACTGGTACATACTTGTATTGTACATGTAATATAACTAGCTTTGTGGTTTTTGATGGGTTTTAAAAGCATTTTGTGATGTACATGTACACAGTAACTTAAATATTTTGTTGGTTTTTCTGGTGCATGCGCAATGAATTAATACCGTATAATCAAGAGTACATAATGTAATAGTGCTTTAATTTGGATAGTTTTATTTTGGTGATTGGCAGTGTAAAACCGTCAATCATTAAATGCACATGCTCAGTAATGTACAAATCGCCAAATTAAAAATCACCAATTACAATTATACAGCAAAATCGCCAATAATCAAGTTCTGCTAAAATAAAGTGCGATACGGTTCTATACAATAGTATACAGTAGTATACAGTGGTATACAGTAGTGTACAGTAGTATACAGTAGTATACAGTAGTCTACAGTAGTATACAGTGGTATACAGTGATATACAATAGCATACAGTAGTATACAGTGGTATACAGTAGTCTTCAGTAGTATACAGTGGTATACAGGGGTATACAATAGTATACAGTGGTATACAATAGTATACAGTGGTATACAATAGTATACAGTAGTACGAGAGTACAGTAAAAGGTGGAAAAAAGCTAAGTAGCGTATAAAGTATGCAGGTAGTTGTAGGTATTAATTTTACTTCATTACTCTTCACTGCATTACTCCCAGGCCACCTGTCACTTGTTCTGTAGTAGACTGATAGACAGATGCTTCTCTTGGCTGTTTGTACTCTTTAAGTTCATCTCTACTGCCACTCTCTGCTTGAGAAGCCTGTTTAGGAGGTTCGTTGCTCTATTCTACTGTCGAGCTACTGTCTTACTGCTGACCACATCTACTGGTGGGTTTGTGCATGCTAAATGAAGGAGCAGCCAACTACATGTACCTATGTAACATTAGAATAGCTACTTAGCTTTTTTCGCACTGTACTATTTTTATTGATATACTGTAATATACAGTATTATGCTGTCGTATACAGTAGTATACAGTGCTATACAGTACTATACAGTAGTATACAGTGGTATACAGTAGTGTACACTAGTATACAGTAGTGTACAGTGGTATACAATAGTATGCAATAGTTTACAGTGGTATACAGTAGTATTCAATAGTATGCAGCAGTATACATTTATATACAGTAGTATACAGTGCTATACATTAGTATCAAGAGTACTCTTGATAATATACATTGGTATACAGTGGTATATAGTAATGTACAGTAGTGTACTCTAGTATACAGCAGTATTAGACTTGGGCAGATTATGCCATAATCATCATCTATTATGATATTCCTGGAGTCCTTGACTTACCAGTATCTTCCCATTATTAGCTGAAATAACGTTTTTATTGCAAGGAAACACAAGCTTCTATTTAATCAATTTTAATGAATTATTTTGTTATTTTACCAAATGAATTTTTGACATGAAAAACTCCTCTCTGATGATGCAGACATTAGTGGATTTTTTGAACTTCTTTCACCCGTGAAGGTAGGTCAATAACACTAGTCTTCCATCACTCAAGTGGTAAGAGAGATGGAGAGATACCGTCCACCTTTGACAAATATTTTGGTACTTTGATAGCTCATCTTTGTCATCCACTAATGCTGCTGATGGATTAATTTCCTTGATTTTATGAGGATC